GTGAAAAGATTTTTTGGAGTTTTTTCTGGAAGCTAACGATCAATAATTTTACATTTATATCTTTTGAGTAATTTTGCTTGTTTCTTTTTATGTTTTCCACATGTCTATGTGCTTTTGATGTGGGAAGAAGAATAGAAATTACACAAACAGTTTACACTAAAACGGCTGCGAGAATGACACCTTAATTGTTGTTGATTACACTGCTGTTGGCAATCGGATAGCTCAATTTCTCTCCTGACTTACTTAATTCTACACAATATATGTTTACATTAAATAATAATTTTAAATATTGCATAGACGAGTAGCTAAAGAAGCATGTTTCTTCTTTCATCTACTCGTCTAATGCAATGCTATACTTGTGCGTCAGATATCATTGTTCCAGTCTCCTTGCGATAAGGGTTTCCGGAACAACAAAACTTCTGCAGTAGTTTCAGCACAATCTTTATGTGTATTGACCATTAAGACCAGATTTGATTTTAGGCTTGATGGATCGTTTGATGGGATCCGTAAACAAGTCGATTAGTAATTTCTCAAAGTTCTCTAAGCTCCCAGTACATCATGCGTTTGTCACACACTTCAAGTGTATAGCGAAAACTTTGTATTAAGATACTTTCTTTGATTGTTAAGCTAACAAGAGGTTGATAAAAAGACTTATTCGGCTAACGTTTTGTCGTCTTCGTCTTCCTCAAAGCCAGTTGGTCCGAGTCGATGGCCCACAGACATTCATCTTTTCGTTAAGGTGCCTTATGAAGATAAGGAAAAAAGTGGAATGAAAATGATTGTGAATGTGAAAAAAGTATCTTGACCTTTTTATTTACGATGGCAAGTGGTCGATAGAACTAGTTGAGAGACAGGTGAAACAAAGGACCAGCATGGTGTGGTGGTGAACGCGTTGCTCCCCGGAAAGGACAATAACGCGTTCGTTCCCCATCTTAGGGAAGCGGCATTTATATTGATCTATGAAGAACATTATCCTAGATTGGTGTGATTCGCTACTATTTCATAAAACAATCTGCAGAGGAATAGCCTAATTTGCTCGGTACGAAGGACATCAAATATCCTGCTCATTCCGGTGTCTTTTTTGGTGCCTCTAGTGAATAGGTCTGTTTCTTTTTCCCTCAGAATTGATCCTAGCCCCAAAAAGTCTCTATTTTTTGTTATTTCTGAAGGGCATGATAACATGGTCTGATCTGTTTTCGACTTTTTTCATCTCTCTGGCAAGCTTGTTTTGACGCGCATGTGTTGTAAACTCTCTCATTCTAAATCAATAGACGACATCATGCAAACATTAGATCTCACTGCATATACTTTCTTTAACTGTAAAATATCTCTAGTTAGTTGATGTGTATCACTCGTACCATCTCTTCTTGGTCGTCGTATTGATCTATCAATGATAACCTGTCTATTGATTTACCACCAGTCCTGTTGATTATTGCGTCTCCAACGTCTAGTCAATGTCTCCATTCGAACTAGTTGTGGATTGTGGTCCTTGCCTAACGGATTTCTAATATTAGCCGAGGAACTGGTCTAGTTACATATGGCCGAAACATTTGACGGGGTCCGTCGCATTGAAAATTAGTGCAGCAACAGGAAAAACAAAAAACAAAGCCATCCAAGGGGCACCAATACTGTAGTCATTAGGTACACCCATAGATTGTACATCAACCTATGTGCATCAGTAAGATTGAGCAGTGTTGTTCTCACGTAGCCAATTCTCGGTGTAATGTAAACAATGTCATTAACAAGATGAAAATGACGTTGTGGCCAGGTGGTGTCTTTTACTTCGGAGTCTTTCAAGTTTTCAGTTATGCTATGGAAAGACGCTGATCAGTTTTGAATTGGCATCGAGCTATTGAGGCTCTCTCTTTTGATAGTAGTCTCGTTGTACAACGGCTAAGTTCTGGTTTTGAAGACCTCTCGGAATCTTCAACTCAATGATAGTGGGAAAACTGCATTATGGGCTTCTGCAATACCTTAGTGTTTCGCAACCGCCAGAATGTTTACGTATGAGTTTCACTATACTGAGGAGTTTCTGAAATTTAGCTAGCTTGCACAGACGTCCTTCGTGGAACATTCTGTAAGCTTTGTTCAGGATGACTTAGATAAAACGTTTGTTAATAGTAGACGGTATTAGAGCAAAAACTGGTGTCGCGTAATCTCCATTTCCGAACGACAACACAGTACAGCTAGTTTCACAATGATTTGATATTCCACATTCCCCCAGACAGTGTAAAAGCCGGATCAGTACTTTAAGGAGCTTTGACGACAGCTTGTTCACTTTCCATTACCTTTCTGGATGTAATGCTTTCCCGGCTGAAAGTCGGAGGCTGCTGCTCATCGTTGTCTTATAATTGGCGAAGATATAGGGAGCGCTTTGGATGCTCTTCCTGACCTCTGCAGGAAGCATTCTCCATCGCTGTTGTTCTTTTCTTCTTAAGGTCCTATTTAGCCATGTCTTTAGAGAGCTATAGAAGATTGATATAAATTGGTATTTCTTTGTAGCTTATTCACCTCAATACTTACGGAAGTATGGATTTTTCAGAGCCAAGTGCTTCTTGATGACTTTGAAACCATTCTAAGTAACAGTTTTCCTCAGTATCGTAATCGGCCAGCAGTGTAGGGCATCTTCTCAACTTGGTCAGTCGAATAATATGTGCATATTGGTGCAAATCACTATCGTAATGCTCGATTTTGGCAGAATTTTGTGGCGCTGTTGTTATGGCCTTTCCATCTTTCTCTATATTACCATATCGTAGTGCTGCTCTGAAAACAAGTGAACGGACAACTTTTGATATACTTATTTATATGATCTTATAAACTGATCTTCTTTAGCTGATTCGAGGTTGGTAGGTTGGTGTTGTTGGTCGATGGCTGGCGTTTCGGTGATTTCGCCTTCCTCAGAGCCGTGATGCTATTTGTGAGTCCCACTTTGTCAATGTGTGAGACAACGACAACGAAGACCTATACCAACCTCGAATCAGCTAAAGAAGACCAGTTTATAAGATTATATAAATAAGCATATCAACTACCTATGCCGAGGTTATAAAAAGTCGATCTTTTGAATAATTAAGGAACAACTTTATATGATCTTATAAACAACCTCGTGTCTGCTTATTGATGAAAAACATTGAATAAGGAACAACTTTTGTTTTTGGTGAAATATATCTGTGTATTGCTTCCTACGTTATGCTTTTGGGGTCTGAATGCCCTGACGGCTGTTTTGTCGAGCGGTGTCGGAATATAATTACGTTCATTTGTTGGTGGCTGTCTTGTAAGGTCTTTATTTTCTTCTTGCACATGTGTTTTCAGAAGTTCGTTTTGATCGGTACTAAGGTAAAATCTTAGTGCAGCACACAAGCTAACTGAAGCGTAGGTGCTTGTATGTGAATGCAGAAGGTATAAGCCATTCCACTCTAGCAAAGGCTGAGAAGCCATATCCGAGATCGATCTGCACTTCGAACAACTACATAGTCTGCTGTCTGTAAACGTACATCATAGCGGAGTGGTTAGTGATGCACTCCATCAGGAAGTCATGTGCTCTTCCGACACCTCCCTAAGCCCTTCTCCAATTCATGTGGGAACGCCTTAGGTCGGTTATTTTCGAGATTGCAAGGAGAATCGACTGGACTAGGGTTCTACAATATTCATAAAGAAGACGAAATCCTCAACCAGAACCTGAAACAACACGCGAAATGTTTTAAGGTCTTTATAGACGATGAATGTGAGAATGAGAGCAGACGAATCGAATGCAAGAGTTGGTGGGATCCGCAAAATAGCGCCAGGTTTTTGCTGAGTATGTTTTAAATTGGAAGTGCATATTCAAACAGTCATCTGAATCAAACACTTAACAAGTATAAATGACGTTTAGTTTGATATGTGCTCAAATTCTTCCCACGAATGTCTTTAATGTGAAAAAAGTCCTGAGCCGCCGACCCACCGCTGTACTTGCATCACTTCAGATGTTTTCCCGTTCTGTACTGCATTGGATTACTTTGCATCGTGCATGTACACATAGTTATAGTCATGTTTGGTGTCTTTGTGGATAGATATTGTATCCTATTTGTCGAAATATCCAGTAATTTCATATGACTGCGAAATTTGTGGGAGGCGGTCGGCGTTGCCTCCAACCAATTGGCTCGACAAACTATGATAGAGTTTCACAGGCTACCCGTGACGACAGTCACCTCCAGGTTTTAGTGAGTCCTTGTTGACCGCTAAAATCACTGGAAATAATTTACGCGGTACAAAAAATATGGTTACGTGTGTTCCTCAATCGTGTGGAACCCTTAAGACAAATCAGGATGACATGAGATAAAGGAAACTGTAATGATACTCTCTCATGTTAACAACAAACGACTTTGCAAGCGATTATAGGTGATTTGGTGAAATCCTTTATTGTCTGAGCACCTCTGGTACATTTGCAACAACGCTAATATTGGAACGCGTGTAGCACACAGTGGTGAGAGGTGCTTTGCATGAAACACTAGATCGTTAGCTGGTTCGATCCTGCGTCCATTGGTCACCAATCCTTCCATCCTTCTGGGGTCGAAAATTACTACTAGAATTGTCATGGAAGAAAGCAATACTAACTTGATGCAGAGCAAGTCCTTGTATAGGTCAGATATGCAGTCAGACATTCGACGTTTACGAAGCTTGATGAAGTCGAACGCATGGCGCATCTCCAAGGGATTAATCAACGGCCAACGCTTTATCCTTTTTTTAGGGCGCTGGTTTTTATTCCGGTCTTTCTAAGGATCGTTCATATAACCAATCTCTCTTTTGGATATTTTTATTGCTGTGTAGGTTTTTTGCTCTGTTCTTTTTCTCCGTGGTTTTTATTTATGCAGGAACTGATTGTCGTATAGAGAAGTGACTCAAATTTAGTGATTACGTCGCTTTTCAAAAATTTTTTGTTGAAACAAAAGTTTTATTGCAGGTCCCGATCTTGAACCGACATTGACATAACATCAATAACTTGATATAAATTCCAACAAAGCAGCATGGGTGACGATGAGATTATGCGAAAAGTAACCTTACTTTAAACTTTGCTTTGTACTGATTTCAAAGTAAAAGTAAAAGTAAAAATTTTGTACTGTGTGAACATTCAAGGACGTGTTTAGGTTGAAGTGAAACCGGATGAGTTCAGCGGCCTGATTGGGAACATCGCTGGGAATTTTATTCGAGACAGAGTAATTTTTATCCTATTATTTAGCAACTACTCACAATCTCACCTATAGTGTATCATTCAGAGATCCTACTTTAGATGTTTTTTCTTGAAAATTTCAACTTCTAGGTAGGCGGGCCAGGTGGAGATATCCTTGCTGGACTTGCTGATAACGTTCTTGGTGGTGGAGGTGGCGGAGGTAATGTATATAGGGTCTTTTTTCTTCAGTTTTATAAAATTATTTTCTCTCTTATGATTCTGCCTGTCACACTGTCCTTGATTATTCGGTCAACTAATCGCAGTCATGTCTGGCGTCACTGAATTGATGGTATTCTAGAAATATCCTCACTGCAAGCCAGCAGACACCTCATTGAACCATAAGAGTCTACGACCGCTTATGGTGAAGATCTAGAAATACCCTAGCACTACTAACTGGAGTTCCATGGAAAACCTTATCCAGTCAGCGTTTAACATCCTAGTCAACCTAGCATGCTGTTCCGCCCACTTTTAGACTTCTGTGCAAAATATGAAGGCGATCAAATAAAGGGCAGAGGTCCTCACGGCGTTTAAGATGGGTGATAGTTTTTCGTGTTTGTTCTCCTTTATTGGTACCAGACTTGTCTGGGAGGATAGCAGCACTGGCTCGATACATCGGTAGGCCACCGCGAGTCAGTAAAGGCTAGACATTTATTCAGTTACCTCCAACGATACTTAATGAAGTCGAATGCATGGCGCATTCATCAGGCATTGATCAATGCCGATTGCGCAGCGTTCTTTATTGTTTTCTTCATGTTTGTCTTTTGAGAGCTTTTGCTTTAGCTGAGCTTTTTCAATTTTTTAAAGTACAAGTTTAGTGATTCTTATAGCTTTGCTAGAAGCTGTTGTAAAATAGTAATAGTTATATAGATGACCCATACTTACATCGTTGCGTTTCCATCATGTATTCGTTAGCTCGACAAGGAGTTAGTAAGGTTCTCTTTGCCTATACATCCCTATTCAATAACTGAAGGCGGTGTTGCGCAAGATCGAGGGTGTATCCACTTTAGCAACAATGCGACTTATTGGAAATAATCGCGTTTGATTCATTCTGTTGAAATGTTTTTATGGTTATATTTATATTTTGCTGAGTTTGGTTGTGTTTATGTAGTGGGTTTCATTAACCTTTCTGTTTAAAAGTCACAGTGTGAAATTATGGGTAGTTATTGCCAGTGATGTAGGTCTTCCTCTACAACTGAAAACCATCTGGTCGATGACGCCAAGTGTATGTCGTGGTTTTCTCCATGTTGTGTTGTTCAGGAGGATATAATAGATTTGACGGTGGAGGCGGTGGTTTCTACGGTGGTGGTGCTGGTGGTGGACCACCGCAACCACCACCAGAACCGAAGTCTAAAGGAAGCAAGGCGCTCGATTTTCTTGGAGGACTCATCACTGGCCGAAAAGACAAAAAAGGTTCGACAGGACAGCTGTGTTCAGTGCATTTGTTTTTGCATGCAACTTTCCAACTTTTTTATAATAATTCAAGCAAAGTGTTGAAGGTATGCAAATCTTCTGTGTCTTACTTGGGTAATTAAACCTATATGTCGAAGTTTATTGGATTTCATCCCCATCTCCTTAGTTGGTAATCGATGATCTTTAATGTCAATAACATATGTATTTAATTTTCTTGCGGTTGTCACCTTTATGCATGTTATTCAACCGATCCTGTCCGGTCTACTAATAATTTGATACTAAGATACTAACAGTGTTTAGCTTGGTTGAGAACATCGCAGTGTGAACTATTTAGGTCATGATCCGATGAGTGACGTCTTTGCTGGCTTCCTAGACAGTGGAATGTTTGTTCTAATCGTTGAAAAGCCACCATTAAAATTGAATGAATTTTCCACTTTTCTAAGCGTTTCATTTTCATGAGCCAACGTGTGCTTTCATAAGTCAACATAACCCGTCTCGAATGGCACTTCCAATCAATAACTGCACAAACTTACTAATTTATATCCTAGAAGGGAATTCTACCCACATTGTTAGTATTGAGACCCGTAATCCCTCCGTTGTCGTTCTGTCGGTCCAGGCCAAATTCATTCGTTAAATGAAACGATAGCAGCCGAAAATGAATATTACGAGCTATTAAATTGTGTTCCATAAGGTACTAACCATGTGGTAAGTCTTTAATATACTGGGTAGTGTTTATTTTTTGCAGGAAGTCGAGGTAGCGGATACAATGATGGAGGCTTTGGCGGTGGTGGATACAACGACGGAGGATTTGGCGGTGGTGGACGGGGACAAGGAGGTGGTGGAGGAGGATTTAATTTGAATGACATTGGAGGTACAGTTTTCTTTCACGAAGCTTTCGCAGCAAATTGTTTAACATATCCAATACTTATACATATACTAAATACATGTTATAATTGGTCCTCAGAACTGTTTTACGTGAAGTGTTGGCCTAATTATTGTTGCTAAATATAGGTTATCTAAGTATGTTATCTGGATTGTTATGTAGCGTCGTCATTACAGGTATCATAAATTCTATCAGCGGCAGCGGTGGTGGAGGTGGTGGCCGCGGTGGCGACATAGGTAGCATCATTGGTGGTATCGGTAGCCTCATTGGAGGTGGTGGTGGAGGAGGACAATACGGCGGTGGTGGTAAGTGGAAGATATGTGAATTAATCTACCTTGTCTTGCATTATTATGTTATTATGGTTGAAGGCGGCAACATCAATCCGAACCGTCTGAATGGAGGGATGGTGAATATTATCGGAAATTTAATTGGCGAAGCAGCGCATCGTTTCCTTGGAGTTGATCCGGCTACTGGTCGAATTATTGGTTCGTGAATATTTTCCATTAGTTGTATGGGTTCTTATGCACTGGAGTTGAAGCAAGAGTGCTTGGTACAAAATCATGAGCAGATTCCAGGACCGGCTTTTTTTTAATCGCTATATTGATCATTAATTCACATTTCTCTTGATGAACAAACAAGAAGTCGTTACAACCTTACTAACTTAATTAACTGATTAATTAATTAACAATAGCCATTGTTTCGGCGGTTTCACCTTCTTCAGAGACTGGAAAGGTCAAATTGATATGCAGCCTGCTCAGTCAGACCTCTTCATAGTCTCAGCAGACTAAACTTAATACATGTATTTTCGTTCGCATAATAAACAGCTTTTTTTTGAACATCCACCACCTTGTTCTTTGTAAGTCTCTACTGTACTTTTTTTTACTTCCATTAAACTTTCTGCAAAAATCAGCGTCATGGTGGTTTTATTTCACATCAATCATATTCTGCCGTGAAAAGATAGTAGACAGTAAATAAAAGGTTAAAGGATTGTGATTTCGAATACATCCTCAGTTTAACTGGGTTTAGTGGAGATTCGTGCTACCCAAATCATTCCCCGGGACGGGTGATTGCCGATGGCACGGTTAGGCTAGCAAACTGACCGAGAGGAAGGCAAAACAAGGGCCTCGGTTGGCGTGGTGGGTATTACGTGAGCTCCGGAAAGGATTATCGTGCGTTCGAATCTGGCATGGAATCCAGGCTTTGAAAATATCTTGGCGTCATATTGGTTGAAGATATGAATATTAAGTTTTATATGCCGGGGTTATGAAAGTATTCGGATGAGTAGTTTCATGTCAATTTAACCTTTCCAGGCTCAGTATAGCGGGAAACAGCAAGAATAATAGCAATTGTGAATTAAAAAATGCTATAATAACAACCTAGTGTTTGCCCATCAAGCGAAATAGTTAATCACAAGTAGATTATTGATGTTTTAAGCATTGCTGGATATTTTCTTCGATGTTTTAGGGGCTGTTGCTGGAAACGTCATAATGGGCCTTGGTGGCAAGGACAACTCTTTGGGCAACATTGGAAAAGTTATATTGGACAATATTATATCCGGAAAGTTCAGGCGTGATGTAAGCACACTTAAAGCCTAACTTTTTTACCTTTCGACAATGTACTTTCTGTATAATTTAGGTTGATCCATTTGTACGCCCGGAACCCCGACCAGATCGCGGCGGAACTGGTCCAAGTCCCATTCAACCTATTCCTTCTCATGAACCTCTTGACTTTTACGCAGAGAGGGACAGATGTTTGGCAGTGAGCATTACATGTTCTACATACGTTCCATTCATTTACATTTTGCGTAGTGATTTTTCCATGTACTGACATAATTGGTCTAGGAAAAACGCCTCTTTGAAGATCCACATTTCCCTGCTCAGGATAGCTCCTTGTTCTATAGCAGAAGCCCACCAAAGCGTATCGATTGGCTTCGACCTGGTGTAAGTCTAAAGTGACTAGTTACTTTGTTACGTGCTAATATTAAGCTGTCCTAATATTACCACAGTTCATCACATTGTTTAAGTGGACTTTCAAAACTAATAACCTTCTGGCCCACATTATCTAATTTGCACGTTTATCTCGCTTGTTGTTGTGATCTATAAAACTAGGGCTCATAGGTCATCTAATAGCTGCTTAGAACTTTATGTGAAATAGCTTTCAGGAAATCGTGCGTGAGCCTCAACTTATAACCGAGGGACACTCTCGTTTCGATGTTATCCAGGTAATGCCGAAGATTTGCAATCATAAAAGTTATCAAGCATATTATTCCACAATTACTCCAGGGAGAACTTGGTGACTGCTGGCTTCTTGCGGCAGCTGCTAACCTTACTCTTAAAGATGAACTCTTCTACCGTGTCGTGCCACCTGACCAGTCGTTCACAGAAAATTACGCAGGTTCGTGCTTTCAAACACCACCTCGGAAACTTTTCTATGCATCTTTGTAGTATGAAGTTCCTACTAAATTTTATTGGTATTTTCGGGTGTATCTCTCATACATTTCCGTTCTGCGTGAACCACCCATGAGGCTACTATCAGTAGTCATTGTTTGGTTGGAAACAGTTTAAATTACTTTTGAGTGAGAAACCGTTTCGTTTTTATATCAAGAAGAGTGAATGTTTTAAAGCTTTGTGTAGGTATTTTCCACTTCCAATTTTGGCAGTATGGCAAATGGGTGGACGTGGTTATTGATGACCGTTTGCCAACGTCTAATGGTGAACTGCTGTACATGCACTCGAAGAGCCACAATGAGTTCTGGAGTGCTCTTTTGGAGAAGGCATATGCGAAGTACGTTAGATTCCGGCTGTCTTCTACGCTTTATTATCACTTTTAGGTAACACTAAACAGTGCTTTTCTAGACTATATGGCTCATATGAAGCTCTAAAGGGAGGTACAACCTCAGAAGCACTTGAGGATATGACAGGTGGTCTCACGGAGTTTTTCGACCTTCACCAACCGCCGAAGAACATTATGCAAATGATGATGAGAGGGTAATTTTTGAACCATTACTTGCCTCGTTTAGAAAATTTCCGTGGTTCCTCAATTTTTAATCACTCTTAGTTTCGAAATGGGATCTCTCTTTGGATGCTCAATTGAAGCTGATCCGTATGTATGGGAAGCGAAATTGTCTAATGGCCTCGTGAAGGTTAGCTTCGAGATCTTGAATGAGATCCTTATATTTCTTCCAAAGTTATGGACAAGGTAATCCTAAGCATTATGTTTTCAAAGGGTCATGCGTACTCAATAACTGGAATGCGTATTGTGAATGGACCTAATGGGCAAGTTTGTCTGATGCGTATCCGTAATCCATGGGGAAATGAACAGGTGGCCATATTCCTAACTTATTTGTATGCGTTTGCACTTATTCTCTTTATTGCTGAAAAATCATGTCTTAGTGAAGTTTAGTTAGTTAAGTTCTACTAGTAGCATACTTAGGAATGGAACGGTCCGTGGTCTGATAATTCGTACGAGTGGCGTAGTGTGCCGGATAATGTTAAAGAAGAAATGGGTCTTCGATTTGACCACGATGGCGAGTTCTGGTAATGCTTTCTTCTCTCTGCATCTTCGTACTTACTTATCTCATCGCTCCCTTAATTACTTGTCAGTTCCTAGCGATTTTCCCTGAATTAGCTTAACAGTCGTTACCTCAATATTACATCCTTTGATTTAAATCTCAAAGGTGACCTGCAGTATACCTGGGTTTGGTCCCGCGCAGCAGGCTCACCAATCCTTCCATTCTTCTGGGGTCAGCAAATTGGTACCAGACTTGTTTGGGAGGAGAGCAGCACTGGCTCGATACATCGTTAGTCCACCGCGAGTCGTTGTAATGGCTGGATATGCATTTCATCACCTCTGAAGACGCTCTATGAACTTGAATGCACGGCACATCCCCCAGGGATTGATCAGCCCTGAGCTTTTTTTGAAATTTTGATGTCATCAAATTACACTGGCGACGATTGGTAATCTACTCGTCTGTTATTGCAAGGTTGATCGATCTTTCTTTCGGTTAGATAAGAATTGTCATAACTTCACTTCAAATATATTTTGATTGTAGGATGAGCTTTGAAGATTTCATGAGAAATTTCGAGAAAATGGAGATTTGTAATCTCGGTCCAGACGTTATGGATGAAGTATACCAGGTTTTATTTTATTCATCGATCTGTTTCTCTTTTTTTGCGATGAACCAAGAACATGCAGATGACCGGCGTTCGTGCTGCTAGCAACACATGGTCTGCCAACACGCACGATGGAGCCTGGATCCGAAACCAGACAGCTGGAGGATGTCGGAATTACATAAGTACGTCAGTTGTTTAATGTTTATTTGAAGGGACAAATGTGATTATTTTGAGAATAAGAGAAAAAGGAAACTGTAAGGCAGCAAATTATTTCATTATATCTGGAAATGACAAGCAAACTGGTAGAAAATTTTTTTTATACAACGCGTCTTCACATCTTTGGTGCGGATTCCAGCACTTCTTACATTCGATTCGCATCCTCAGATCCGTCATCCATTAAGGTGTTCCAACTTTTTTACACGTTGCTTCGGCTGCTGCTTGAGGATTTCCATTTCATCCTGAATATCGTAGAATGCTGGTGGATTCGATTTTCCCTAGATTCCTGAGATAGCCGGACTATAGTGTACCCCTTTCGATTGCAGAGTGTTTTTATTGGACAAATCCGGTACCAATTTCCCGACTCTGGCAGGATAAGAGGTTTGGTGAACCCGTGCGGGATTGAGCCAGCACTGTGCTCGTGATGACCGGCACTTTCCGCTCCCTGGTAAAAATTAACTTAAGGAAATTACATTGCGTCTGAAACAAATGGTGAATAATATCTAACTTTTTGTTCGTTGTTTGTTATTTTTCCATGGCAGTGTATTATTTGAAATAAAACCACAATGATACTGTGATATTTGCAAAACTCGAAATTTCAGGCCAACTTCGAACCCGTGACTCCCCTTTTCTGGGACTCACATGTTACCCAGTACACCACAGACACTCTTGATTTGCCTTTCTGTCAGCCAATTTTTTTACGATAGAGATGCCATTAGTAATTACCCGTTAGCTGGAAGGATCTTGGGAGCACAAAGCGGCATTGAACACAGTTAACGTGAAGCTGCCATCGAAATTAGAATATTTAACTGTCTATTTACTGCCTGTTATTTTTCATGGTAGGGTATTGTGTGAAATACAACCGAAGTGATGCTAACTGGCAAATAGATGTTGGAAGTATGGCAGTTCTTCAGTTTGAAATCGCATTGTAGATACGTTTGCCAGCAACCCGCAGTATCGCGTTCAGCTTACGGACTCCGATCCTGACGACGACGATGAGCTGTGTACGGTTATATTCGCCGTTATGCAGAAATACAGGAGAAATCTGAAGGCGCAAGGCCTTGACAATGTACCCATTGGTTTCGCGGTCTATGACGTGAGTGCAACATTTTTTTAAATGTTTGGTAGGAATTTGTAGAAATTCTTTAAACATTAAATTAATATTTTATGGGCAATACCATTTTTGGAAAAGATGTGCTGTCCCTATTCTTGTCCAGCAGTGATACGGACAAATCTTTCGCCTTATCTGCCGTTACTTTTTGTATACTGCCCACTCTTTTTAATAGGTGAAATATGAAATATTATATATATTATGAAATACATATGAAATATGTGAAATATAACCATAATGACGCGGAGATATTTGGAAAACTCCGGACAGTTGGTGAATGTGGTGAAGACCGAACACGCTATTATCGTTTCCGGCTGCTAACGGGTTCACCACCACACCATGCGAGTCATTCGTTTCGCCTTTCTCTCAGCCGTGTTGTTATTAACCTATGGGCGCTATCAGACCTATATCCCGTTGATGGGTGATTGCTGATAGCGCCCATACGTCAATAACACGGCTGAGAGAAAGGGAAGCTAAAGACTGGCATGGTGTGGTGGTGAACGCGTTAGCCACCAGAAAGAGTAGTAGCGTGTTCGGTCCCACCGCAAACACCAGCGGTACGGAGTTTTGCAAATACCTCAGCATCATTATCGTGTTATCTGTTTTTTCATGACAAATGAATGCTGACGACTTTCTTCATAAGACGAATGAGACTAACTAAATTTACTTTTACAGGTATCAGTGAGTCTTCTGTAATGGTGACGTGTTTTATTTTTGTTAAGTGAAGTCGTTGTTGCTTCAGTTGTGTTTAGTAGTGCAGTAATTTTACTTGTCTAGATTTAGCTCAGACATAGGAAGTGCGTGTTAGTTTAGTGTTTGTGCGTAATTATTTGCTCTTTTGAGCTTTCGGTTATTATGAACGCTCTTCATAATTTAAAATCCTCTTCAGGCGGGTAACATCAGTGGACGTTTGTCAAAACAATTCTTCCAAGCCAACAAATCATCAATGAGAAGCGCGGCCTTCATCAATTTGAGAGAGGTGAGTTTCTGGACACTTGGAGTGCGTATGTCGAACTAAAACCCCGTTGTACACGTAAGCAGAACCTATAGTCATAGATCTTTGTACTTAATGGAGGGAAAGTGTACTGCTTTCACACAATTTCTTAAAGATGACCGGTCGATTCCGTGTACCACCTGGTAACTACGTCGTGGTACCTTCAACGTTCGAGCCCAACGAAGAAGCAGAATTCATGCTTAGAGTGTATACTAACGGATTTATCGAATCAGAGTGAGTTATCGTTTAATACCTTGCCTTCCAACTTCATCTGCATCGTCCTTCGTCCCACTATTTGTCGTGCGTTTCGAGATTGGGGTAATGCATCTTCAACTTATCTTTTTCGTCTTCAAGTTTCCCAGTAGCTTCGTCTCACTCGGTAGGCATCCACTGCATATTGTTTCCTTTCTGGAACAGCGTTGACCATCTGATTTATGGTCATCCTGCCACATGTTTTAAATTTTGTGAACTTAGTTATGCTCATTGACAATTCATATCCAGTGTTCTTCACTAACATTTGTGACATATGCATCATTCAACGAACAGTATTCGTTCTGTCTGAATAATGATTTATGGTCATCCTGTCATATGTTTCACATTTTGTGAACTTTACATGAACTGCCAACAGAATCAGGGGTCCTCGAAATGATTGAGAACGATGTCATTACGCGGAAAAAGGTAGTATAAAACTGGTTGCCTTCGATTTCCACTTCGATATTGTCCCATTTCAATTGTATCAATGACGTTCTTAAGAAAACCGGGGCCCTTGAAGTAAATGTCATGGTCTGATCCCATTGAAAGCGTGTTTATATGCTTCCCAATCGATTACCAAGATAGGATATCGGACTTTGACAAATTCAGCCATTTGAAAGACATGTTCTGACATTTCGTGGTGGACGTGGTTAAAAGAGACTAGGATAGAATCCATGATTTATCACCGCTCTTCTTGATGAGATTGCTGACACCGATATTATTGATAAAAGTTACTGATTCGTCTGAATGTCTCCAGACAGTTTCGTCGTGGTCTTATAAATAGAATTGGAATCTCATCCTCATTCTCTGATGTTTCACCTAATACACAATCCTCTGTAATCTCTCATTTCAGTACTTTCCTACAAGGGTTCGTATACTATGAATTGATAGTTGCCTGCTAATTGTGCAACTCAATGTTGGGGTCGAGAGAGCGCCTGGACTTAGAGACCTTTTGTTAACTTTCGAAGCATTTAAGCGCTTACTGTGTAAAATGGCACGATTTTCCTTCGAACTTTGTGGTTCGATTCTCTTTTTCCTTACTGAGCGACATTCTTATATGAGGAAAAGTGCTTCTCACCTTATGTTCTAACTTTGCATTCCTGTATAAACTGAATATTTTCAGGGAACTATAACTAGCCGTAACAATACTCACCGATTCTCCTATAACGCTTTTGTGCTATTTTTTTGTGCGATGTTCCTTTCCGTTGAACATTTCTATATGTTATGCGAACTCCTACATAGTAATGATTTCATTACAACCGATGTAAAGATTTTGAAAAATGATACTTGGTTAATAAAGCATAAACAAACTACCTGCTGTATGAATTGTTGCGACACGAATGAAGCAACCACTCATATATTTCTCATGGTAAACTGGTAGGATAATTATAACCTTTTCTAACATCACTTATTTTACCTACAGGCAATAGACTTCATATGTATAGCGCAGCAAATATAATGAACAAGGTCCACTCTTAATGAAAAAGTATCAAGATCCACATTGCGGCTTAACAAATGTACTGCACAAAAGTTTTAAGTGTATGTGTAGAGGACATAGTTATGTTTGGAAATATCAGATTCCTTCCAACGGTTTACCGTCTCATCGTGGCTGAGTGGTGCCCCTGGATGCTCGACTGCGATGTACAGCAGGGGAATTCAGCCTTCAGCATGATCTCCCAAGCTGAGGAGTCCGGCGTCTCCGTCAGGAAGCCTAGCTAAGAGTAAACGAGTACCAAGATCCACCAGCGTCCTGGCATCAAACTAGCATGGTGGCAAATCTCCTTATGATCCACAAGCGTCGCGACTGTCTGTGGTGGTGACGACTGGGGGAAGACTTTGGCTTGGATGACTTCGGGACTCCAAGGAACTATAGCGGCTAAGCCACCAAATCTGCGAAAAAAGCGGAAATTATGCTGAGGTCCACGCATCCAGTGAAAAAAGGCCATCCCACTATTCAAGTAAATAATATAAGATTTGGTTGTTCCATTGATCTTATTCCAGTAAAATTGAAATTGTGTCATATATGTGAGCAACACCTATACCCATGGACCAATTTCGAAGGATACAAAGATGGTCAGTATGTCATTTCGTGTTGCATCTCTACGACACTTCCACTAATTTGTTGTTCCTGTACACCTACATGCGCCAATATATAGTTCAATTATTCCAAATGGTGCTTGACAACGTCAAAAACTTCATAAGAACAACAATAATTAAACCCAACTTTATTGCAATTATTACGTCCCAAGCTCGTAACAACAACGAAAAACTGCTATCAATCCTTTGGATACTCCATATTAGTTGACTGCCCGCCTTGCTCGTCCGGTCGCATTGTAGGGAAGAAAAGTACGTCCTAAGATGTCAAAATAAAATAAGTGTGGCCTAGACACACACACAATTAGTCCGCACCTTGATATTGTTGCTGTCTGTGAGAATCATGGTGAGTCGATCAATCCCCATGCCCCACCCAGCTGTTGGTGGAAGTCCATATTCCAGAGCAGTGCAGAAATTCTCGTCAACCACCTGCGCTTCCTCATCACCAGCATTCTTGTCCTGCAAAAGGAGTTTAATATACGAGTACGAGGAAATGGGCTAAAAACAAACAAACAGCGGCTTGTTGTTCGAACGTCAGCCTTTGTGTGATTGGATCGTTTAACTCTGTATATGCGTTCACAATTTCTTTTGTCACGGTGAACAGCTCAAATCGTTCTGTGAGGCCAGGAATCGATCTAAATTTCAGAAATAACCTTCCAAGAGATAGCAAGCTGAAGTTGTACCAATAAAATGAAGAGTTAAGAAACGAATAATAAAGAGTAAAGGACGGTTTCCTTCTTCATCTAGACAGAATATGATGCAAACACTTTTCGCCATCTTTTAGATTCTGATCCAACTAAAGGAAAACATAACACCTCTATGTTATAAAGATATAAGATCTTATAAATGTATGTAGGATATTATAAAGATACAAACAGTAAGCAGCTTCAATTAATACACCACTCACCTATGCCACTTGGAGAGTGGACTCATAATTTGAGGATGCCCTATGAGAAACGTCGGCGATATGAATTTGTTTTCAAGAAATTCGCCAACCAATTTATCCAGAAGCCGTGCCGTTGTACGCGGTTCAGTGCATTCAACACCTTTTTCACAACAGAGCTTGTCAAACACTTGGCGCGCCTCTGAACACATTGCTGTATCAAGCAAACCACTGAATCTCCACAAGATATTCTCATAACACACCATCATATTTTAGCCTATCTGGAGCAGGAAGCTTCACACCAAGCGCTTTCTCCAGTCCTTCATACATATTTACGCGCTTGAAGGGAGGTGTAAAATCCACCTAAGATGTATACAATTCTAGGATCCAACACTACAGCTGACATCGACACTCACAGCATACGTTACTCTTCATTAAAGGCAAACCTCAAAAACAGGTTCAGTCCCAGGTCCATTAGGATGATATTCGATCTTGTACTTACCATGGATGAACATCACCATTTCTAAAAGTTGTTTATTGCAGACTGCAACACAATTTCCAGTTTTTCAGAGTTTTGCTGGTTTAGCCACTATAGTTCCCTGGGGTCCCGAGGTCAGCCAAAGCCTGCCCCTGGTCGTTACCATTACAGACAGTCGCCGCTCTTGTAGATCAGAGGAAGACTTGCCACCATGTGACTAGTTTGATACCAGGACGGTAGTGGATTCTGGTATTGGTTTACTCCTAGCTGGGGTTCCGCTGGAACACCGAACTCCTTCTCAGATCGGAAGACCTTGCCGAGGAATGAATGCTCCCGCTATATATCACAGGTCCACACACAGGACAACCTTCTAGCCACAATCAGGCGGTAAACCATTGGGAGGGAATAATATTATTATAGCACTGAAATAATTTTTCATGATTTACTTCACAATACAGAAAGGGAAAATAACAAAGTGATTGAAAAATAGATCCAAACAACTGAAGACTTTTAAAAAACTCGCAGAGCATGGTAAAAAGAAAAACTCACTGCTAAGCAAATCCTCTGTTAATCGCATTAAATCCTCGTAGTCAGCATATGCCATGTAAAACTCACATGAGGTGAATTCAGGATTGTGCGTCAAATCGATACCTTCATTTCGGAAAATTCGTCCTATTTCATAAACGCGATCAATGCCTCCCACGATTAACATCTAAATGCGAACCAATTGGTTACGGAAAAACACCGAACTATTTAGTTACATAAACTACCTTGTGGTAAAGTTCAGGTGCAACCCTTAGAAATAGGTCCATGTCAAGTTCATTGTGATGCGTTATGAATGGTTTTGCAGTCGCACCGCCAGCGATCTGATTCATGATAGGGGTTTCGACCTATAATCAATTTGAAGCTTTATAAAATTATAAACACGTGAGAAAAGCAGGAAAAACGACCTCCAAAAATCCCAAGTTATCCAAATATCTTCGCAAGAACGTTATTAACTTGCTGCGAACAATGAATTTATCCTTCGTTTCAGGGTTGATGATAAGATCCAAGTATCGCATTCGATACCTACATCACATTATTATATCTCATTCACACTTTCAACTATGTAATGCCTACCTCAACTCTTTGTCTTTCAAGCCATAATGAGAATGAGGTAGCATACGCAAGCAAGGCGTTAATTGTTCCACCTTAGTTGACAGGACTGATAATTCTCCAGTCTTCGTCCTAAGAAGATTAATGTATTAATAACACCATTCCATAGACGGACATGTGAAGTGGTGCGATTAAATTTTCTTCCGCTAATAGATATTAGCATTAAAGTATTAGCATGTTATTATACCTGGTTGGAAAACCTGTGAACCCTACAATGTCACCCCGTTTTATTCGTTCATGCATACAGTTGAAATCTTCGAGTCCTGCTTTATGGTACCGTGCATTCGCCATTACCTAAACACTTAAAGCTGTTTAAAAAAATAAACGAAGACCGTAACAATGGGTACCTTACGTATTATCATTTTAAAAACAAAAAAATCAACAAAAACGAATTCAAAATTCAACAAAAACAAAAACGAAAAACATATTCTTTCCCATAGACTTCTCTACTGCCACTGTGTAGATCCTCTTACTTAAGTTATTTCCGCATCTAAATTTAAAACAGCTCATCACTAAACCACATTTGTATTAGATAATCAAGGAATGTGGGGTATTTCGCATCTGATGGTACTTTCCACACATAATGAGAGAATATGCTGACACTAAGCCTCATCAGAAAGTATGCGTCATAGGTTCCGGATAACGTAACAATTAAATCGTCAAAAAATACCAAAAACAGCATGATCCTTCAAAATAAATGGTACGGAAGAAAAACCACTTCTTCAGAAACTGTTCTCGATAAATACCTGTAGGCGAGCACCTCCACTATGGACATCGTAGAACACAAGATTTTTCCCGGACTCACGTTTTGAATAGATACGTCCTAAAGCATAGAATAATGCAAAAATTACTGCCTTACTAATGCATAAAAGAACAGAGCAATGCCAGCCTTGATTTCTTGTCGTCTACGTTCAAAAACTTAATTAACACCACTCGAGGGCTTGAATAAATTAAACAAAGAGAGAGATTGTCCGTGGTCATCACGTCGACTAAGACGGTTCATGGCAGCTCATGAATACGCATGCCTTAGAACAGGTCTTAGTCTTAGGTTCAACTGAAGATAACGAGACATTTATTAGTAAAAGACTCCTTCCTGTCGCTTTATCACACTCTCAAACGAATATTTCTTAGTGTTTTAATTCCTACTTTTTCAACTTTCGATATTCTCTACCTTAATGTATGCAGTGGAAACCTCGACGCTGGGCAGGTACTACGAATGATCATTCATTGAACGGGTTCAAAAGGCAAGAAAAGGATCATTTGCGTCAATGAATGCCAGTGAAGACGGTGCTGCTGGGAGCACTCCGTAACATGGAGGTAGAATAGAGAATAGAAAGGCTCCACTCCGTTGGGATAAAACATCAAAGTCACAACAGTATAAGCCGAGACGCAAACAACCTCGCTAGTCGGACAAGTGAAGCGTCTTTGAGAACTAAAATACAATAGCCATTGGTCACTGGGTTTAATAAAAAGGTTAGGCACAGAACTTTAAAACCAAAGACTGTCAGATGAGAAATCCATAGATGGCCGGAATTCTTCACAGATCCCGAGAAAATACGATGCTGTTCGAGTTCGCCGCTGAAGCACAACCCCCTTAACAACCGCTGCAAACGAGAGGAAGAAACGGCGACTTTACTGGCAGTTGCTCCAGTCACTTAGCAATCAGTGGGAGTACAGGTGATAAAGACTATAGAATGCTAACCTGCAATGCTCACGTTCACATCTTCTAGCACCTGCTCCTTTTGAAGGCCATTGTATTTCTCTATGAAAGCGGCAATTGAAATCGATACGTTAAACTAAACCAAGACGAAGTCACTCATGCTATTCTTGTGAATCTAGCAGACAAACCTTATGTGGGAAAGGGTTTTCTCCAGCAGCTCGGCGGCTGTTAATCATTCGTACACGCATATTAAGATACTCCTGGGGATCAGAAGGATCTGCCTCTTTGACAAACTGAAGCAAAAAAAGAAAAACATAAATAATCCATACTCTAGTCGAATCCTATCAAGCACCTTCTCAACCTTTCCGTTCGCCATCTCCAACTCAGCATGTTTCTTCGCTTCCTTTTCGAGTCGTTCCTTCTCTTTTTGGGCTTGTTTGGTCAACCTCTTCTGCTCACTGAATGAATTAACTAACAAGCGACGTAATAAGCACTAAATCGATTCTACCTTGGTCAAGTGACTGACCTTAGGCTAATGCCACGGACGATCGAGATACGACGTGCGAGACAAAGCCCAAAATCCACGTACTTGACTATCATCACTTACTTTTTACTCAACTTCTTCTCACCATCCGACAACATTACAGCTCCCTATACGACGTTCAGGACTTAAGTCTTCTGTAATGTCGCAATACAAAACTCCTTACTACCAAAATCAATTACAAACTCGACAAGAGCCTCAAATTGCAGCAGTAGTGTTTAGGAAGACTTCTTAAAGGTCAGAGATTTCCTCGCTGATTGTGGTCCTGCAGCGCATTCATTTTCTCGAAGGTGCTCGTCCTTTAGTTTTGGATTTTCAAAAGCGGCGGGTCCTTCGGTAGTGGACACGACGGTGGCGTCTAGTTCTCTGCAGTTATGTCTTGCACGTTGTTCTTTGTTTTCTGAGTGTCCATGAAGTGTGGAATTGTTTTGGATTATTCTTTAGACCGTTCCTTTTGGCCAGGTGATAGTTTTGTGCGTTCGAGAATGATGGTTCGTCAACCTCCTGTACTTTGGGCACAGAGAGAAGGATTTTTGTATGTTACCATTGAAATCGATGATGTAAAAGTCGAGGATCTAACTGCTGATAGTTCAAAGTTGCATTTTAAGTAAGTTCTTGTCAGATCTCAACCCGGTACTACCTCTGTATCGCTTGGTTGCTACGTTTTTTCTTTTTTCAAACTGAGTCGTGCTTCGGCTTTAGATGCTCCACTTCTATATAGAACGAACTTTTAGGGGGACCAGTCACACTGAAGTGTTTGAAACAACATTGGAATTCTTTGCCGAAGTTGATGGTCCAGCGATGAAACGAACACTTTCAAATACAAGAGTTATCGAATTGAATATTCCTAAAAAAGAACCGAAATGGTGGCCACGACTGTTGAAGGGAAAAGAAAAGGTGAGGAACTTTCGATTCAACAGTACGTGTGATGATAACCAGTCCTTTCCATTGCTCCATTGCGCTGGTTAGCTACATAAAAGGTAGTGTTCGGATACCACCGAGACCTTTTTTTAATCCTTCCAGGTTACTCAAATGTCACTTTGGCGATCCCGATGTGATGCCAGAGCGCGTGTTTAGAATGGCGGCTAGTCACTGAGCTATGAGAAAGAACCTCAATAACTTAATAAAAAGTATAAAGCTTTTGGCGATAAGCTATCCCTTACGAATGTGCCATGCATTCGACTTTATTAAGCATCGTTTGGAGGTGATTGACTACATATCTGGCTTTTACAATGGCTCGAGATTGTCTATGTATCGAGCCAGTGCTTCTACCCTCCTAGACAAGTATAGTTACAATTTCCCAATCTCGCAGGGATTTAAGGGTTTGCGAGCCTGGAGCGCGGGGATCGATCCCATATGTATTGCAGGGTGCTTCCAACCACTATGCTATACGCGTCCTCATTAACTTTATAGGTGTATATAATCATGGTGAGAGTTGTTGAAGTATAGTATGAATTGAGGCGTAGGGCTAAGTTAGGAGTACTTTCTTTGCCTTCGTCCGCATGTATCTTGTCATATCCAACAATTCAGTAGTGCAATTTGCTTCCAGTCAGAAAGTCGTATAATATTCATTAAACACAATGTCCCCTAAAAATTGCTTAGAACCTCTTTAAGATTGGGCCGTTTGGGTAGGTTCTCGACGATGTTTTCGCATGCAGTGGTTTCGATATTCTCTTTGGGACGCTTACTTAGTTGCTTCAGTCAATGTAGTGAGACTAGGGCGACGAATGAGTACTATACTAAATAGGAATTGCTCAGAACACATTAGGAATATGAATGAAATAATTTTTTATGCGGTTGTATGCGTATGAGTACAAACAAAGCATCGAACATGCATGTGGTAAGTTGTAAGAATTGAAAAGAGCATGTTTATGTAGTGAAGTACAGTTCTATTACCTAACCTTATGTCGAGGTATTTTATGTTCATCTTTAGTTATTTCTGTTATACTTCAGGTACACTGGCTGAAGGTCGACTTCGACAAATGGAGAGATGAAGATGACTCCGGTGCTGAAGATGGTATGATCGGCTCTGGAGGCTTTGATCTTAACTCTTATATGAATCAGATGGGCGGTGGTATGTAACTTCTCTTCTGTGCTAATTACCTTAATGTGGCTTTATTTTATGAGCATAACTGTGATGCTAATGATGCCCTGGAAATTGTTTGCTGGGTTCCAAATGTCGATAGGGACTTATCATGAGAGCACTAGGAGACACTTCCAACCATTTCGAGGCTTTTGCTTTTGAATCATTTAAAAGCTGCAAATCTGGCATGGTCATATCCAAAAGTTAGTATGAGTGGATGGTTCTTATAGTCAGCTTACATAGTCAAGCGTGGTGGTTTTTTGAAATGGTTTGAGCACAATGCTTCAGCAGTTATTAAGATAACCTGTGTGAAGAGGTTCATTAGTTAGACGTAATGTTGCGTTCGTGGACTTGAAGTTTTGAGGTTAGGTGAGGTTGAAAGAAGAACCTAATTGTTGTGGAAGTTTTATGCGTCTAGTGTGCAGTACAGTAGTACAGTCTTCTAGGTAGAGCAAATTATGTTGGTTTCTAAGTATTACTGAATAATGAAAATTACTGAGCCTATTGCAAAAGGCATTATTTGACATCTCACTGTAGACGAGTGTCTTTGCGTCAAAGGGATTTTTTGTTTTTTCCATCAGTGTATTTTGGCGATTCTTCCTGTGTACATTCTAGCATACTATTTCGTGTATCGTAGTATTCCCGGCACACCCTTTGTCTACGGGAGAGGGAAGGTTTCTTTTCGGCTGTTTCGCGCTTGAAAATGCTGTGATATGGAAAAATAGAAATTTTTGGTCAATTATGTTCAATTTTCTATGCACACTTGACTAATGCTCTTTTCAACTAATGATCTGTGCATTGTAGATATGGGTGGTGCTCCTGATTTTGATGACCTTGATGATGGTGACGATGCTGGTATGTCTGTTATAAACTACTCTTTTTTGTACAAATGCTGATTGTATGTGTGTATATACATGCATATGTGTATACATGTATATATATTGTACATATACATGCACGTGCATATAAATACATATATATTCACGTATACATGTATACATATATATATGCACTTATGTATACACATGTTTTTATATATATGTATATATGTATATATATATATATATATATATATATATATATATATATATATATATAATATGGTACCACATTCTGCAGAAATGCCGGACTTGGAAGACGATGACGAGGCTGACGACAGTAATGAACACGAGGATAAGACAAATGAGAAAGTTGATAATAAGGAAAACAAGGAATAAGTGGCGCTATGCACCCATTGTTTGTTCTTACTGACAAGTTAGCGGAGCATTCTGAAATCACTGACTTACTGTTGTTCATCTTATTTAACTGATCATCAATATTAGTTTTCACAAATTAGTTTCATCATCGGTGATCCACAAATTCTGAAGGTGACGTTCGGCTCGTTGTTCTACGTTTTCATTCCTGCATGCCGTTGACCGAGTAAGAGTTTCATCGATGAACTCGGTAGTGGTCGTTCATCCCGTTTGTTATTAACGTTGACCATTACTTTCTCCGTGTTGTAAAATTTGTTTTTTCAGATTGATTTGAATAAATATTTCTCAAAGGAGTGCTTCCTTTAAAGTTAGTAGACTTAATGTTTAACAAACGAGGTGTGCGGAAGTTGCCTGCGTGGCATGTCGGCTACGCAGCATTTGTATGTTGGACCATGGAGGTGGTGTTGTGATGTTACAAGTATGGCTAGTGACGATATTTAGTATTGGCTAATATGGACAGTTTGGGCGGTATTTTACAGCGTTGTTTTTTTTTTTGACAAAAGTATGATTACCATGACATAGAAGAACTAGTTAGAGTTATCCAGAGTTGGGGATGTTTGTTGATTTGTCTACTTTCTAAAAGGTGATCCTTCTCGTGGTGATCGTACAGACGCAGTTTCCCCATCAAAAGGTAAGGTTGCGGAAGTTTTGGGAACTTCTCTAACGTCAAGGGTGGTTTTTGAAGAACATTATAAATATTTACCAAGAACGTGATCAAGAACGCAATCAATGGGTAGAAGCAGTCGATGAGTAGAGATGGAGGATCGGAGGGTTCAGCATGTCCTGCGAATGGTGTAGATCTGACAAGTTCGCACGTTTATCCTCTTTTCCCTAGGATTCTATTCAGTATTGTACTTTATCCAGTCGTATCTCTGCTTTTGTTTTAGTCGTTTTAACAACTCTGCTCCGCCTGTTGCCTTTCCTCAACTTCAAGGTTTCTATTTCTTTGGTTAATTTCCTATCTAACTTATTAATTGGTTTAGATGAAGTTAAATCTAATGGCGATTGGTAATGGTCACATAATGTATCAAATCAGAATCTTTAGGAACTATATTTCGTTTTTCCACAACGGACCTTTCACTAAATTCCAGAAGATGTGACTGGTTTCGATGCACACGTGTACCAAAAAAACTGATTTTTTTTACTACAGGCCGGTGTATCTCAGTTTATAATGTGGTTCTTCGATTGAAATAGTAAAAAGGACAGAGCTCTCGGTGTTGATCAATCCCTGAAGTGTGCGCCATACTCGACTTCATTAAGCATCGTTGGAGATGAATGAATGCAGTTCTGGCCTTCGCAATGACTAGCGGTGGCCTGCCGATGTATCGAGCCAGTGTTGCTATCCTCCAGATAAGTAAGGTACCAATTTGCCGACACCGGAGGGATAGAAGACTTGGTGAGCTTGAAGCTTTAGCACTCTGGTTAGAGGTGCCCTGCAATACACATGGATTCGTTCCAATGCACCAGGCACAGTAAATCTCCCATCCCTTCGTGGTCGACAAATTGCTACCAGACCCGTCTGGGAGGATTGCAGCATTAAGTAGACACATCGTTAGTCCACCGCGAGTCAATGTACAGGCCAGGTGAGCCGTAGTCATCTCTAACGATGGTTAATGAATGCAAATGCACAGCCGATCCCTCACGGCTAGCCGCGTATTTGGAAACAGATGTCTCTGCTATTCTTGAACACTTATGTTCGATAGTTAGGAACCTCTTTTCATTGCGACAAGATGGTAAGATGGTAAATAATTGGGTAGACTTCTGCAGATGAATTTCAGTACATTCGGCGTTATCAGGACTAGTGTTTGTAAAAGAGTTAGGTATCCATCAATATATTTTCACATGATGTGTTTTATTTCCTACTCTTGTCTTCACAACACCCCAATGATGTTATGTACATCTTGTTCGAACATACATATTTAACATTCTTCAGTTTTTACAATCTACACCTTACTTATTTACCTATTTTATACGACCTGACATCACGTTCGGATCATAGCGGTTCTCGTCCTAAGTGTTGTGAATCCGCAGGAGATTATCAGACCAATTCAGCACTCATTTAATGACCACCAGAGGGATAGGGGCTTTTTGGAGCGGCACGATATCGAACCAGAGTCTTGTGCGAATTTATTATCATGATTTTTTAAATACTACTCGTCTTCAGATCGACCATGCGGATTCGAGCACTCTCGGATCTCGCATTCGACTCGCTTCTTCGCACTCATCATCCACGAATGTCTTAGAATTTTATAGAAAAGGCTCTCCATAGTTGTCGAATATTCTCGATCTCTACTTTTATGGTGACCGTTCTTCATCGAATCTGCAGTTGACTCGCACTGCTTAGTCATCTCCAAACAACAAAGTGCTCTGTAAAAACTTTCTTAGAGCTTCCCATATGCCTTTTTTTCTGATGAAGGCATTCGCTGCTACTGTTTTGTCCGCTGAACCATCTGCATCAGCTGGCACTGCCTGAGAAAAAGTTCTGCCACCTGCTCCTCGGACTATCTCTTCAAACCATCGCTTCAAACTACCTCTGCAAACTGTATCTTCAACTATCCTAGCTACTCTGCCTATCCTCCGACGAATATAAGCTGCTCCATCAGCTCTCAGTTCAGTTCATTCCATAGTTCCTTCCGCAGTCCTTCACAGCGCTCACGGGTTCTTTCTTTCAGCTCTTCACTAAAAGTCCCACGTGGAATATTCACACGAGAGCAGTCAATCGAGCTAACAACTAACTGTTCTAACTACATTTATATCACTGCATAAGCCACCACATTTATTGGTGCATTGGTCACGTGAAAGGCCGGCAAAAACATTGCGTATAGTTTCGCTGCTGCTTGAGAATTTTTCGCTTTCTTTGTGAAGGCCTTTGAATGCTGGTCGAGTCGATTTTCCACGGACGACCGAGTTAGGGTGTTTTCCACCTGGACTGCGTTCCTAGACAAGTTCGGTACAAATTTCCCGATCCCGTAGTAACGAGAGAATTGGTGAGTCCAAGCGATGTCGACGGAGCACCGTGTTGATGATGAATCATAACTGAATTACCCAAACCACAGTATATACTTTGTACATATCACTTTATTATTTTATACTCTACTTTACACACACACACACACTTCATATCGTACTCTACCATGAAAAAAGAATGGGCAGTAAATAAAAGTTGAAACTTTATACATAAAATAAGGATAAAGCTCCCGGCGTTGATAAATCTCTGAGGGACGCGCCATGGATTTGACTTCATTAACCATCGTTGGAGGTGATTGCATGCATATTTGGCCTTTACAATGACTCGCAGTGACCTACCGATGTATCCAGCCAGTGCTGTTATTCTCCCAAACAAGTTTGGTACCAATATGTCGACCCCGGAGGCATGGAAAACTTGCTGGGCCTGGGGCGTGGGAATCGATCCCATATGTGTTGCAGGGCGCCTCTGACCATTCCGCTACGCGCACTTCTTATTAAAAAAATTGCCATATAATTCGTATGCTTTTTGAGACCGATTAACAAGTGATGACCGTGATTATATCGTGGGCGGGTTTCTTCACCAGATATACGAATTCGACATGTTCCGAAAGCACAGGACAACATACAGAACTAGAGGTACACTAAAAGAAAAGAAGAATAAGAAATTGTTAACGGAAACTATAGGATGACTCAGTTATGGAGCGAAAGATGCAACAAAAGAGGCGAAATGATTCATTGGTGGGGAGGGTGCGGCTGAACACCATGTGTTGATATCAACTCATAGGTGTTATGGCGACGCACTGTGCTTCAAATAAATGTGGCCCTTAGACAGATTCGGGAACCAAATTTTAAGTTGTTGAAAGTAACGCGTTAGGATTTATAGGGACAAAACTGGGACTACTTCTTGAACAACAAACCATAAAGCAAATGTCGTCAATAAGGAGATGATAAATCTTTATTAACCTTCTACCTTTAATCGTATGGTTCCCAATTCTACAGTTCATATAGACGTTAGAATTGAGATGCTAAATTTGAGCAAGTATTGACCTTCTGGACGAATTCCTTCATTGCTAAACTCGAAAAACACCCTGTGAGCCAAAATAAACTATCAGAAAGAGAATGGTCCAATAAGGAGCCCATACTAGTGAACCGGGGTTCGGCATTCGATTGTAAGAATCCACGCCGTTCATTGTGTAAAAGTAGCATGAACCCAAGAATTGATGGCTTGCTAGCTTCCCCCCAAGATGTAGATGCAACTTACTTGTTATAGACAGCCGTTTACAATTCTCATATATTATGAATCACTGGCTCATAGAGCTTTTAGTAAAACTGGTTTGCAACCGCGAATACGTCCGTGTATTTTACAGGTGCGCCTATCGTTTATCCAAATCGGAATCAGTCCAACAGAGCCATGAAATCCACTAAAATATGGCTTTTGGCGAATACGTGGTTAATTCGCGTCCATCTTAAACATTTACTCTTCACATGAGTTTGAACCGTAGAGATATAGAAAGACTCCTAGTTCTAGTTCTCGCTCCAAGTTGGTTAACATTATTGTACCTTTTGGAGACCAAAAGATAACTGAATGGAGAAGAACAAGCAGAGTAACAAAGTGATGCAGAAGAGTGCCGCTGATCTCTACGCGTTGTCTGAAGTAACAACTTCTATCCACCAAACAGACACCAGACCAGACATTCGTTCGGTTTCGTTGAAACCGTGTGACATGACAGCACCGTCGTTCTTTATGCCCTTCCGCAGTCGATTTCCCTTTTGCTCCAATAGTAACATCATTTCCCCACATACGCACAGTCTGTACGTCTTCAGAGAAATATCGGCTCAATCAAACTGCACAAAATGACCACACAAGACAACAAGTTGGCTTTGTGCATAAAAACGAGATAGTACATCTCGACACTTAATTATGAAAGTGCCCACAAAAATACATCCCACGTAAACCACACATTCTTTGGGAATAAAAATGAAAGAAAAACAAAACGACTTTTAAAAACACAAGACGGTATTTTTCTCACATGTTCATAAATCAACAGAAAGTATTCACAGAACAACATACACAACAACTGAATGCAGAGAAGACGTAAAAAAACGCTGACCAATTAACAACAGGCACTAGGTAAAAACGATAAAGTTGTGTAGACGGTAGTCTGATAGTAATATTGTCAACGGCGCATACAATACATCTTAGCTTGGAACAGAATAAAGGATTATAACCGAAGAACAACTCAACATATTTAAGACTAATTACATTCCCACAAATCTACGCACAAGCCGGAGAAGAATACTATACCCAACATCAACTCAATGTTCAACAAAACCTTTAAAAGCTTGATTCGTGATATAAACAAAGAAAACTCAGGAGAATACTAAACAGAACAACAATAGCCCGACTAGAGTTTTCTTCTTCCTCTTCCACGAGGTCTTCCATGAGTTGTTTCGGTAGCCTTATTCCTGCGTTTTGTTCTAAACGGAAGCACTACTCGTGACGTGTGTATGGGCGGCGAAGGTTCAGAACTGCTCTGAGTCGAGGACTTTTCTGTCTTCGAATAGAATCTACAATACGTCTAGATAAAATAGAAGTTAAAGAATTTGCAGAAATAGCACTTGCTGTGTATGAGTATTGTGAACATAAAGCCAATGGCAAAATGAAAAAGCATTCTTAAGCACTAATCTAGGGATTCTCCATCATACTCAAATACATTGTATATTTTATGGATGTTAACCTACACATGCACTACAGTATTTGTTGATATTTGTCCGTCGAAAACTACTCTTTGTTGATAATTCGTGCGAATTTATTCTTGTGGAGTATAGACTGCTTCTGGTGGAGAAATATGCCTTGATATTTCGATGCAGACTCAAGAGCTCACACTCACCAATGCGCTCAAAATGCTTCTTTCAGTATATTACAAGCTTTCAACACCATCCTACTAAGATATTGGTGAAGATTAGGAAGTATCCAAAGATACGAGGTATATTCAACATATTTTAAGAAACAACTACCTAAGGCTGATAGCACTGTAACTGGACAGGAGATAGGTTTTTTTCTTTTGCCATACGTAGAGTTATAAATGTTTGAAAACCATAGAAAGAATGATGGATACAAAGGAAGTAGAAAAAACATAGCAGGTATGAGCGTAAATTTGTAGGCGAAAAAGGCGCGGTCACTTTCTAGGCGGCAGATTTAACCCATATGTATTGAGTTCAATTTACGACTTGAGAAGAGAAAAACTGGGCGTAATCGGGGCAGCCACAAGATTAGACATGAGTAAGACACACAAAACACCTCTCTTCATAACCACACAGGAGGCTCTTATTATACCATTTATTAATAGTAGGTGACGGTCTGGTAGATTTCGCCCCTCTCAGAGCTAGGAAAGGTTATGTTAACTGCAACGAAATCACACGAATACCTCCACAACGTCAACAGAAAAACACGAAACCTAAATTTCAAGTGCACCGGGGACAAAACGGCTTCTTCATACACTCATCGTTTCTATGAGTCATATTTCACTGAATATCTATGTTAGAGGAGTATGGTGTACCTCATTTCTTGTTAAGCATACGGAACAAATACATTGGCAAAACGGGTACAGCACTTTGCATCCGTACAAATGTACGCCTGGTCAGTAAAACTAGGGTTAAAACGAATACCCCACTTTGCACCCGTAGAGCACAAAGACATCGCGGAGATTTTGAGGTAGAAGTCATCATCATCATAGAGAAATCTAAAACACCAGCGTTTAGAGCTTTCGAAGCATTCTGAATAAATTCTTGCAATCCAAAAACGAAACGCAAGGATGAATGCCTCATCAACACACGAGATCCCACAGTATCTCAGATTGATATTTTGACGTCAGAGAGGCACTTACCCACTTATATGCACTTTACACGCTGAATACTCACTAGAAGTCTCATAAAGAGCGGCGAGTGTTTGAAGTAGTTTTATATTCAATGCGATTGAAAATTAGATATCGCTGTTTTTCTGTTGATGTCATGGTGCTCGGTTGACTAGATGGCGGTTAACTTGTTTTCAGGCTTTGAAGTAGACAAGATACGCCGAAACTGCTATTACTACCCAGTATAGTAAGGATCTCCCTTAGGTTTATAAAGAAAACAGCGAATTATTGATTCCCGGGTTATTAGTTGATCTTGTGAATTAATGCAAAGTAGTGATTGTATCCAGTTAAAATTAAAACGAAAATCTGGCATCTGTAGACATTGACCAGAATATCAAGAATGACAATCGAAAGAAAACGTACTGCTTCCTCAGAATACGAGGAGTTGAAGTGCGCAATTCATTGGGCTCGAAAAGAATTGTGTTATCGTCTTCTCCAAAACTATAAAGCTAAAACTTTTCAGAGAAATAGTGCTATCTCTACATCTATGTTTTAGACACCACATTTATATTCTATTTTTTAAAAATCTTTATATCTTCTACGCTCTCTTTCAACACTGTAAAGTGCCCGTTATTCAGAAAAAAATGTCAACACATTTTTACAAGCAATCAAAAACTAGCTGCGCTCCAATAAGTTATTATACAAGAGCTTGCATGATCAGAAAAATTACAGCCTCTGGGCAACATCGGTCTCTAGTGTTGTGTTTGCAGTACTGGTTCTTAGCTCAGAAGATTTGTTATGTGCAACATTCTCAGCGCGGCCCAATAAATCGCCACCGTCGTCCTCTAATACCACGCTATCATCCAGATTGACTGTAATGTCTCGCTCTAAAAAAAAACTAGACTTCGAAAAACACTGAAAACATATTGAACCGAAATATTTTAAAGAATTACTGAAATCGTCAGCCAACACTGAAGCGAGTGTGGTTGTGTGCTGCAAACTAGAACTTTGATCCTGAATTGATGAAGTACTGTCCATATCTTGTTCTACAGATCACTAGTACACAAACTTATGCACGTACGCCTTCAACTTCAGAGTTTCTAGCTTTCCTGGGACGAGGCTCTCTACCTAATTTAAAGGCTGTATTGGAGTCTTTTTCCTTAACGGCTTTGTTCATCTCGTTCTTTTTCTCAATGCATTCGATTCTGTTATTCTGAAATTCCAATTATCACGTTCCACGGCATAATACAAACAGTAAGAAGTGAGAAAAAGTTACACTACATCCTACTAGCTAAAAATAATGAAAGTACATAGAAGGTCTTATACGGAACTGTGAACTTTTCCACGTTCATCGAGTAGAAGAATGTTAAAGATGGAACTCTGGTGCACTGTAGGGAATGAATACAGACTTTAGTGATATTCGCTCTAGTCATTCAATGTTAACAAGGGCGAGAGATAATATATGTGTAGAAATTACTTTAACTACATTCCAGATTGGTCCTTTAGAACCACTCCTGGAAACAATAGGCTGGGAGAGTTTTTGCACCAGTCCATCGCTTAAGTTATTCCAGTTCCGTCTCTCGATATTAGTTTTCAAAACGATAGGTTTGGAACATAATATTTCGACCGCTTCTTCGCTCGAGTGCTGCTGTAGTCCATGTTTCTCCTTCCTTAATGAGGCAACCTAAAAAATGCTAGTGGAAAATTTCAGAGGACTTAACAAAGAAACAGCTATTTCAATCTTTTGAGCTCCTCCCCACACAATGATAATCTCAAACCCATGCGACAATTTTGTTGAATATCCTGTAGAAAAATAAATATAGTAATATAAAATGTTCACCACACTCTGGTGCGAATGATCATTTCTTACCCGTTGGTTCTTCAACTCCTTTTCTTTCCGTGCGATACGACTATCTGATTTTTTTTCCTCCATAGAGAATCTATTCAATTGTTGCTCAGTCCCATTTACAGCCTTCCTAGTTGGCTCCTTAATAATCCTTTACAGAAACTAACAGCTTGTCTTAGACGTATGGCAACTCATAAACCGAAATATCTGCAAGCAAAAACTTTTAAAAAAGTTTCTGCCTTAAACCTTCCCACGGCGACGTTGTCTTTGCCTTTCGTTAAACTTTTGTTTTCCTGATGTTGAATTCTCGGCCCTATCTCCTGCCTGAGTGGACTTTTTCTGCGCACTTTCCTATACAAATATATATCGGCATCCATTGAAATTACAATCACTGGAACCTATACAGTCTACTAAATTAGCAAGAATTCTAGCAAAATTTTCACCATAAAACTAATTTTGGCACTCCTAAGTTCCTCCGCCTTAGTAGATACTTGGTATTTCAACAGACAAATTTCGCCGTCGATATCGAAAATTTTGTTTTGCAAATCATCAACCTTCCTCTCTTCCTCCATAATATCAGCATCGAGTTTTTCCGTGTTTGCCTTCAAAAGCGAAAGGGAAATTGGGAAAAAAACGAGCGCAAGGAAAGTGTGCGAGTTATGGACAGCCAACCAAAAAAGAAAAAATGTGTGTTTTGGATATATATATATAAATATATATATATATATTTATATATATATAAACATATATGATATAAATATAAACGTATATAAACATATATAAACAAACGATATATATATATATATATATATATATATAAACATACATATACACGTATGCAATATCTTAAAAATAGATTTTCATTAGATCTCGGCAACAATAATCAATAATTTTTACATGGTTGAGCTGACACAAGGTTACTATGAGGTTTGTTGGCTATGTTTGATTGCCATGCTTGTGCCAGAGAATGAAGTACCGACTGATACAGTACGCATTGTCACCCCAAAGAAAATGATACTGAAGGCGACAATCGACCAATACCCATGCTGTATAAAAGGACACCGATGAGGAATGTTCCATTTTCGAGCGGTGCTGTCTCCATTGGATTGAAGTCGATGCAAAGCTTAACAGCCACATCCCAACATTGACCAGCTATGGACCGACGACTCGATTGAACGCAGCTCTAAGGCGAACGTGTCGAAACAGCCAAATAGAACTTCTATACCAATTTCATGTTAACTCACCCATATAAAAGTTGCACATATATATACCCTCCCAACAGCTTACGCCTCATCGTGGCTGGAAGGTGTCCCTGGGTGTCGGGCTGCGATGTACAGCGGGGTGATTCATCCCCTGTCAAAAATCTCCCAAGCTGAGGAGTCCGGCGCTTCCATTAGGAAGCCTAGCTGAGAGTAAACCAATACCAGGATCTACAACCACCCTGGTATCAAAGTTGCATGGTGGCAAATCTCTCTTTGATCCATAAGGGCTGCGACTGCCTGTCATGGTGACGACCTGGGGCAGACTTTGGCCAGGCTGTCCTCGAGATTCCAGGGAACCACAATGGTTTAACCAACAAATCTCTGAAAAATGGAGATTATGTTGGGGCTTGCACAACCAGTGAGCACGAGCCATTCAAGTATCAAGTATATATATGTATATATATATATATACATATATATATACGTATGTATGTATATATATACGTACATGTAAATATATATACGCACGAATATACACACCATATTTATATACATACATGCATATGTATAGAAATCGCGCGAAAAATGAGTGGCACCTTTATATCGTCTATTCTTTTTTCTACTTCACGTTTTTTGGCGTCGACGTCACGACCAACGGTTTCTAGTTTCAACGCCTACAAAAAAGTACGTTTAACTAAAACAAATGCTCTATAATGAATATAAGCTAGTGCTTGTGAAATCGCTTGCCAATACGTGCAAGAGCATTCACGTAAACATTAAAAGAAAGTATAGTTTGAATGGACTGCAAATGAAAAATATAGTGAAGTTACTATTAATAAACGACTGGAACCTGTTGATCTTTTTTCTTTTTTTCTTCCACCTTTCTGAGCAGATTTCTATGATGTTCCTTTAACTTTGACAACTTTTCTTGCGCTTCGGCTACTTTACGACAACGCTCCTCGTACATGACGATAAAACGTTCATAGCTTTTCCATTTCTCAATCTGAATTTCCGAAAATGAACTACTTAATCGAGTGCAGAAACTCATAAGTAATTAGTTCAACGATGCTCACAGCTGGAAATAATTGGCGTATAATAACGCAGGTTCTAGTCAGTGCTTATATTGACATGGTTAGAGCATCTTTTCCTTTTTTGAAAACAAACAGTAAACCAGTCCATTAAAGAGCACCTCTGCTCGGGCGTCTTCACAAGCTTTGACATAAGTGTCCCGTTGTTTCGATAATATGTCAAATTGTTGTTGGAAGTCGTTCTATAAATTTATTCTCGAACAGACTTGAACTAAACATAAGATTCTAATAAAAACACTCACTGTCATATTCTCTAGCTCAATTGCCATCTGCGCTTCCCTGCTTTCGCGTTGTTCCTTCAACCTTCTAAGGGCTTCTTCTTTACATAAAACCTCTGCTTTCATTTCTTCTAATGCACGCTTGGCCGATGATATTTTCTCGTCGATTTCAGCCTGTAGAATGCAAAGTACAATCTAGCTAACTGGTTCACCATTATAACATTATAACCTTGCTCAATATTTACCTGCTTTTGCTTCTGAATGGTTGCTTGGCTCCTTATTTCCTCAAGTTCACATGCAAGTGATTCTGATGTCTTAATAAGCTCTTCTTTTTCTAATTCCATATCGTTCAGACGTCTAGCGTTATCCTCATTTTGCTTGGTAACCTGAAAATTAAACCGCTTCCTGTCTGCATAAGAAAGCACTAAACAACCTAATTTTGCCATCATAATAGACGCAGAAAGGCAAAGCACACGTTATACACTTGAATGTTCTGCAAAATTACTGCAGTAATTAATGCCTCTTTGAAACAAACGAACCCAAACAGGAAAGGTGCCCACAAACTAACTAAAAATTTCTGAAGTATAAAGTATGAAGTGGTATAAAGTTATGAAGAAACAATGTTAAATGGGATCACATGTTGGTAACAAAAATGACTAGGTGAAACTGCGTAAAGTACTAGATGTGGTTTCCTGATGGTAAATGAGCACGTGAGCCGGCATTTAACAGATGGGTGCAAACAACACGAAACTAATGCGCTTGATTTCTAAATTGAACTCAATTAATATTATGACGATGACAGGATGGCGTTTATTCCGTATTTCCGAAAATATTCTCATAAAAACGAAAAATTAAATAGTCTTTCAACTGGAAGTGAAAACTACCGCATAGTAAAAAAAGATACCCTATGAAGCATAAAATAAAGAGTTGCATGAGGATCAAATAACTGGATATTGAATATATCTCGTGCATACAGGTAAACATGAGGTTTTGCAAGCACACTATAACAAAGAACAAAGCGCTCGTTCAAGTACTTAAATAAACTAGAACCACCTTCTCCTTCTCTTCCTGCAGTGTTGAGAATTCAGTCTGAAGTTCTTGCAAATGAGAAGCTAATGCCTCTAAAGCACATTTTTGCAAATTAATCGACTGAATATAAATACATCACATCGTGAAAGAACGTGTAGGAAATCGCTGGTAAAAACAAGCTATTATAAGGATCATTCTTACCATTGTCAGCATCCAAATTAGACAGAATTTCAGACTTTGCTGCAAGCTCTTTTGACAATTCAAGTCTTTGTTTGCGTTGACTTTCAATCGCCTGAACCTCCGCAACAATTGCCTTAATAATATTACTGAAGTGCTGAACAAAAATGAAACAAATCTGCGAAAAAAATTATTGACATGAAAACAAACTGTTAGGTCAAACGACGCCATTCGATCCGATATTTCTTTTCGAATGACCGCTTGCTTTGTTCGCATTTCTGCAAAAAGACTACTTATCCACAACGAGTAGTTTAGCACGTATCTGAGAAAAGATTACACACGTTTTAGAATAAATTTTCTACTTCAAAACTCTTTTAAGAATTCTTTTCCAAACCAAAATATTCTAGTTGATGATAATAAGAACCTTCATGATCTTGGGTGGCTCGCTACATGAGTTCGAAATAACAAGTTATCAGAGTGATCACAGTCTCAATATAGTATGATTGACAGTGATTGAAATAACATGTGGGTACTGAACCTGTGATAAGATCAGCTGCTACTGCTCCTGGGGGTTGCTTAAGGTCATAAACATCACTACGCAGTCTTTTCTCAGTCTCGCCAATTCTTGCCATTTGTGTTCTCAAACCATCCAATTTCGTACGAACTGAAACAAATACAGATGTGAACTCAAATTATGCACGATTCCTATGGATAGTAATGGTCAAACTGCTCAAATAAATCGCACGTTTACAAGAATCTAAACAAAAGCGAAGTACAAAACGTAAATAAAACTCAGAAAGCATTCAAATATTAATTGGCAAACCTTCATCCCTGTTCAACAGTTGATTAGCACAATCCAAATCTAAAGATTCCAATTCAGTTGACAACGTTTTGGCGCTAAAATCGAGGTGTTATACATCTCGAATGGGCCTTATTTGGAATCCTAGAGAAAGTTATGAGGGAAATCCATGTTGTGCAGATGGAACTAACCGAGAAAGATTTGCAGTAACATTCTCCATCGTAACCTTGCGTTGACACTCAAAATTTTCACGTTTTTCATTCTGTCGTTGATCCAACTCATTGTATCTTGCAAGTTCTCTTTTCATATTGGCGATGACTTCCTAAATTAAATATAGGAAAACCAGCAACAAGTGACAACTGTGCAGAAAAGTTTTACAAGCAAAAAGGAGAAAAAACAGAAAAAGACACCCTTTAGTGGTTCACCTGCTTCATAGCATTACTTCGTCGCAGCTCCTCTAAGCGGGCAATTTCTGCAGTAGATTGCGACTCCAAAGCATTAAAGTGTGCAATAAAATTCTCCATATCCACTAACAAAGTGTTAAGCAGTTATACAGTGTATGTGGAATCTGAAAGGACATATCAGTTAATATAAGCAGGTTTCGACCAATATTGAATAGCAACGATATCAACCACAAAACACATCGACGATGACTTAAAAATCGTGTTTCAGAAGCAGAAAGTTCCAGATATGAAAGACTAACGATGAAATAAGTGGGAAATTCCAGAAAAATGCATCTATGAACTGACTTTAACAAGAAAACATTCGAAAAATAGCATAAATAATCACAATAATGAAAAGTCGTACAGGCGTGTTGATCAGTTGTGGTGCAAAGTTGATGCGTCGAACCGTGAGGTTAACGAGCACTCTCGAACGGCTGAGGCAACATGTATCAAAACAATAAGTTGCACTACTGATTCGAGTGTGAGTTACAGTCTAGTACTTGTATGTTGAAGCCAAACCTTACATTTAAGTAGTTAAATCTTTAAGTAAGCCATAAAGCAGTAATACAGTAAAGCTATTATGAACGAAACAACATGCAGAATAAAACGAAGAGATCGAGACTAATACCGACGATAAGAAAAAATGGTGTATACACATAGGTGTACGTGGAACAATTGCATCACGTGAAAGGAATGAAGACTTATAGTAGTTTTATTGCAAAACATTACGCAATCGACATAAAAAAATCTAAGGGGACAGATTGTCGGACATGAAGAGATTGAAATCCATTTGTAAAATAAAATCAACTATGGTGTTGAGTGATCAGCTTTATCCAAGCACAACATAGAGTTCAAATAGGAGAGGTATCCTGAAGTAAATGTACCTTACCAGAAATCCTCGTGATTTTCACTCGCTACCATACATATTCCCTGAAATGCGATGTTTTTAAAAAATTAGCGACCGCTGAGTGAAGGTCTCTTCAGAACATCATAATACCACAACTAGTCAAACATGGTGTTCTACTCAAGACTTTAAAATAAGAAGCTCTCAGAGTTGCCATTCAGTCAATCCATAGCTACCGAAAGAGTGGAAAATTGTAGTATCAGACAGAAGTCGACGTCGTTCCGGCTGCGGCATCGTTGCGTGCACCCGGACGCCGAGCGACCCGTAAAAACATGCATGCTTTCGAGGGCACAATTCGCACCTGTGCACGTATGCAGCGAATGTGGCACAGTGGTTTGACGTGCCCCTCGATACACGCTTGGTCATTTCTTCTATCACGTACGCCCATATCACCAAGACTTCCATCCTTCTCCAGTTGGAAATTAGTACCAGAGTTACTTGGTAGGATGGCAGCACTGATCTGATACATTCGAGGCGACCGCAGCTACTGTATAGGCCAAGTATGCCCTCGATCACCTGTAACGATGCTTTATGAAGTCGAATGTATGACGCATCGCTGAGAGATTTACCAACGTCGAGAACTTTATCCTTTATCCTTCTATAACTGTGGTTATTGTCGACACCGTAAAAAAACAAGTGAATATGCATCAGACGGCGTAACACCTATCCTTTTCCATTCAATCAGTTTTTTCTTCGAACAATTGGCTAAATTTTCGCCTTCGTAACTAACAAGCGCCGCCTAAAGTCTAAATTTAATGGAATTCTAAGTAGAACGCAATCTTTTCTAGCAAGAACAACCGGCTACATATTCACAACAATTTTTTAGTATTTTGATCATAACCTGTCTTCATGCATTAAACAGATCCTAGCACTTCTTGCAATCAATCCGCTTCTTCGCATCCATGATAAGCGAAACTATTCTTAATCGCGTGTGGGGTCAGTTTCTGCCCGAAGATTTTCTTCCTCTTCGAGAAAGTCGTTGAATAAAGGTCGATTCTCTGCATCCCAAGCCAGTACGAATAGCCGTATAAGACCGTCTTTCGGTTCTGTGGACAAGAGACGCTTCCCAGAATAAAAAAGTAACTGAATGTAAATCCGGACCTTACAATGACTCCCGATGGCCTACCGATGTATTGAGCCAGTGCTGCTATCCTCCAAGACAGGTATGATACTAATTTGCCGACCCTGGAGGGAAAGGCTTAGTGGGCCAGGTGAGTGGGAACTGATCTCATGTGTATTGCATTGCGCTTCCGACCAGTGCGCCACAAGCGCCCTTTCACAGAATGGCTTCACATTAATTGCGGGATCGAGATAGGACTTCGAGCGTATTGAATGGCATCACTACCATTGCGTTAACCACGCCCTGTTAATTCCTGTATGTGTCTAGAAATCCACACGTGTGACTTAGCACGTCACCGTTTACTAAGGCGATATTCCTGGCAGACTTCGATGTAGAGTCGGGATGTTTATCGCTTGGCTAAAGTTACACTTCTGAATCGAAGCTTTGCCAATAACAGTGCCATGGAGTATGAAACAGTGATCTAGTATGCTTTTTAAACTACCTGAAAGTTATCAAAAACATACTGCTGCAGTTCTGCTTGTGTTTCACCGTCAGCATCGTAACGCATTCGCCAAAAGTACCTTTTCAGCAGCGTCATTCATACCTGTGGGAATGATGACGAGCGTCAGCTCATGGAGATAAAGCTGCTGAACAGCTTCCGTGATAACTTAAAATTTCTGGATAAGGCGACCTCCCAAGATTTCAGACGAATTCACCACATAGGAAGGAGCTCATCTGCAGTTTTCCTTTTAAAAAAATAGAAGATTAGTCGTCTCTGGAAATACTGCATCAAAACCGAAATTTTGACAAGAACAGCATAATGTATCCAATTTTTACTTACTGCGCATTCTTTTTCACCTTTTCCACAGCAGGATATGATGTAAATTATAACTACACTGATGCTGAGACATCTGCAAAACTCCAGACCGCAGGTGTCTACGGGGAGGGGAAATAGCCCTCGCTATTACTTTTTCCGTGGGCTAGCGCCTTTACCACCACACTATGCGGGTCCTTCGTTTAGCCTTTCTCTCAGCGATCTTTTTAACCTATGGTGCTAGCAACAATTACCCATCAACAGGAATTATTTCGATTGCAGAAATCGGCATTGAACCAAGTTATGCTACGTTCCCAGACAAAACTATCTCGAAGAACTTTCGATGAAGAATCTTATTAAATGTTCCACATTTAGCACTTTACCGGAGAATACGTGAAATAAATATAGAGCAAACCTATTTCTAACTGCTCTAATGAGTTTAATCTGCTAGAGTTCGGCTTGCAAGGAGTTCCAACATTCCACTAGAATAAGAGCCACATCTGCATAAATGAATTTGCACTGTGCAAAAGGCAAAACAAAAAGAGTCTAAACTCGTCTAGTTCCTTCTACAGCAATATAGTGAACTTTAGCAAAGTCTATCCGATAGTGTGACCTTCTTATTCGAAGAGAGCTTCTATCCTCGACAAAAAAGTTGGGTTGCTTTCGAAATACAACACATTTAAAAATCCACATCGGCACGTCGTAAACTTACCTCGTTCCTATCAATATCCCTCTTTTGAACGGCTGCACTTTATTTCGTGGCAAAACAAGGCATGCTTCTTCAGTACTAGATCGTGTATATGTCGCGGTTCGCAATTCGTGCTGAAAGTATAGTACATGAAATGTATATCGATCGCCGGGTTGACGCGAAAACTGGAAGGACGGAAATGTCTTGGGTTACATCAAATCATCAAGAAATGTGAACAAAAATAAAGAAGAAATCAATCAAATCTGTTACAAGTACGAGAAAGAGTAGTAGCACCAATGGCCAGACCTCGCAGCAAATTTAGGCCAATACGATCTGGCAGCGAGATCAGATGAGGGGCAGCTAAGAAGCCTGCGTGGAAGCCGGCGCGAAATTTGAACATGAATTATGTGAGCGTCAAGTGGAGCGGTCTGACCATCTCACTTGCGCAAATTGTTTTACATGCTCTTGCCGCGTGTCCGGATTCTGTTTACTCTCACTACTGGTTTAAAATGCAGTTGTAAGAGTAAAGAAAAGCAGATGCATTAAGAATATTTCACATTGAAGAGGTGAAAAATGAGCCGTAAATGTATTAACCCCATTTCTCACTTCAAAATTGGCAGGGAGTAATGTGATTCTTCTGACAAGTGCCAAGGTCGCCATGCTCTTCTCGATGTACGTCGTGGTAGCGGACTGATTTAGTTGATATAACACTGCGTTTTACCACTTCCTAACAACTGGTCAAGAAAAAGGATGGATTCACTTGAGGTTTTGAAAACCATTTGCGTCGTAGAATGCAGTGTTTGCTTGAATTTTATGAAATCGTTTGGCACTCGAGGCCTACACTACTCTTTTTCTAGATAGCATAGGGGATCCATCGATACGTGTTTCCTGGACCTGTATATTCCGAAGCAAATTCTACTGATGCGTTCGATCAGTGGTGTCACCTTCGATCATGTAGTGCATTGTTGGTGAATTAGAGGTTGTCAGGTTTCTAAATCTATCTGCACTAGACTGAATATGATGACATGCGAGAGCAGGACTGAAACTGCAGTAATCCCTCAACTATTCAATCTAATAGTTCCCATTTCAAGGCAAAGAAAAGCCATTCTTCTCTTCTCGTCAACACCTTTTCCCAAAGCAGATTCTTCTGCTGCCGGTACCTATTTGCCTTAATCATAATCAGCAGACAAATGTTGGCCACAGTTAATTGGCAGAAACGTGTTGATTCTGCTCAACAAAGCAAAAACAATATCTGCTCACTATACACTGACAATTATGGAAGATGCAGTGCTTGCGAGGCACTACCATGTTAAACAACTGACTTCTGACTGCATCAGTATCGTCACCACCATTACCGTGTTCGGCTTCCAATCCATTTCGTTTAGGTTCTTCAGCGAGGAACGTAGGACGTTAATTTTGTGATCCACATCACCACACTTCTCACTGTTGCTTCCGATGATGGGTCGAATGATGTCATCTATTTATATAGTTCAACACTGCGAAATCCAAATCTTGACCAACAAAGTTGATCCAAGGCGACGATTGACTTCCAGATAGTAACGTAGGTTGGGCTAATAATGTTCCTCCTTAGGTAATTGTTACCAGACGTGTACGA